ACAAAGGGAAAGCCACCCAAACGGGCGAATTTCAGGGCCGAGGTAGCCTTTTTCACCTTCTTTAGCTCGAGTCGTCTTCTGTTCGTTTGGCTTCTTTGTTCTCGATGCACCCCCAACGGCATCAGCACGACCCTTCCATTGCCAATCCTTGGAAGGCTCTCGTGTCGGAATACGCAATGTCAATTCCCTATTGATTTCAATGCGCAATCTAAATGCCGTGCTTTGTCGCAGAGCACCCGGTGCTAGTTTCTCTGTGGGCTCAGCGTTGCGATAGAAGTTTGGAAAAAAGACATTCTGCAGGCCAACCCGCTCCCTATCAGCCCAGGGTCCGTAATTTATCGTACCGCCGTGAATCTTGAGGTCCATCCCCCATTCGGGAGAAGGAGCATAATTGATATTGCTATCCATTGATTGAGACTGAGCAGCTGACGGTGGTTGAATAATGACTCGTCCAGGGACGTCCCAGAAGTAGGCTATATTCAGCATGGGGCTATCCACGATGGTAGAGAACCTGGCATATTCGACTGAGTTCCACTTCTCGTGGTCATCCCCACTATCTTCGTCCAGATACCGAGAGAGACCGGTCCAGCGGACCTCAGGAAACTCTGCCTGGCTCCTCGGCATACTGTTGGCGTGTCTGCCATCGTCGTGGAACGATTCGACAGATGTCTGGAAATATGGGACCAAGTCTCGAATACTGTGCCATACTCTGCGCCTCTGAAATTGGTAGTTGAAGATATTTTGCGGTCTTTTCTTCGATGCGTGGTCTTTCTCTTGCTGCGCACCTAGATCTTTGGCGGTCGCCGATTGGTTCTGCTTGAAGTCCGGGTTTGGCCGCATTTGGACCACTGCATTTTTTACTTGAAATGAGAATATCTGACGATACAAATCAAGAGGACCTGAATTGGAAGCGTCGATGGTACCCATTCCAGTGTCGAACGTGGTTGTCAACACAGATCGAGTATGCTCATTCCCGATGACAATGGCTCCTTTCTGGCAATCCAGCTTCATAGGCAGGAGTTGTAACATGTTGGACACAGGATCCGACAGTTCTGATCCACGAATAGTAGTCTTTTGCGACGCAACTCCGCTCCTCTCACTCGTGCTGCGCTGTGACAAGGGTTCGATGGTTGGCCGATGTCCAGGCGTATCTTTAAAATCAAAGGCGTTGCTTTCGTTGCCGTTTTCTGCCGCCCCGCGAGATCCTGGGGGATTTGAATTGTCACCGTCTAAATCAACATTTTTGGAAGAGTATCCAAACCCAGTAAGGATACTGTCATAGGCAGGTGTCCGGTTGTAGATGAACCATTCAAGGCCATATGTGTTGATAGTAATCCGGCACGGCAAGTCGGTCGTCTTTCCCATGCCACCTTGCTCCCCCAGATTGTCGTCCGTTGCATCGCGCGGGCACGCTTCTTCCCTTGAGGTATGATGAGCAAGACCTGTCTTGCGTCGAATCCCGGCCAAATCATTTCGCTCGACTGTACGCGTCCAATAGCGCCATGTTATGAATCCTCCATGAATAAAGATGGTCTCGTTCACCCCATGGTACCGAATGCCCTTGAAGAAGATTCTTCCACCAAGTAGGGAGACTTGAAGTGCGTTTATATCAACATATGCGCGGTAGTAATGCCATGTGTATGATCGAATCGCGTAGGATATGAGGTTCGCGAAGAGTCGGTTGAAGTAGAGCAAAAAGAACAGAGCGCTATACCGTTGATCAGCGTAATCCAGTCAAGTTGGAATAGGGCAAACTTACAGAATGCAAGAGACAATCAGTTCTAAGAGAAAGAACCTAGATCGATCAGTATAACAGCCATGGTTCAAGCAGTCCAAGCAGCGATTCCATACCAATTGAAGCTTGGATCCGGCGTCAGGAAGGTCGATGTCAAACTTGTACTACCCATCTCTCTCCGCCTGTCAACATGGACAGCGCCGGCGCGATAGAACGCGAATGACGAGCCAAAATTGACCTCTCAATCATCGACACCAAAATGGCTGGTCAAATATCGTGGAAGTCGCAAGGCGAGGACGTTGATAAGGAAGACCGAGAGCGGTGTCACGCGAGGATCGTCATCGGATAACACGCCTCCTCATTCCGAACTAACGCTCCTCTAGCTTGTTCTCCCCCCATTTCGGTCTTGACTAACATGTTTTGCCCCTCTATCGACTCTGCGGAATGAGCTGGATTACCTCCGTAGGCAGAAAGGGGTCCTTAAACCGTGTTTCCCCCTAAATTTCAGCAATCATGACGACCGCAGCTGGCGGAGGAACAGGCTCCAGCCTGGCACGAGCAATTATCATTGTCACAGGTGTCTCGGCTTTGGTTTCCTCTCTCTTGTCCTTTGTGTCAGTCTATCCAATCTTTTTCGACCTAACTCATGGTCGCGCTCGCTGTAAACTCCCCGGCTAACGTGTTGTCTCAAACCACAGGTCCATATGGTTTCAAACGTACGAGCTTATACCGTCCAAATTCGAGAACCGTGGCTCACCATATATATAGCAAAAACTACCGGAAACCCTTACTCCAACGCTACGTTGTGCGTATATTGTTGATGTTAGTGTTGACTCGAGTATCAGCTCAGGGGGCTAGGGCAAAAAACAGTGCTGATTGAACTTAGGGTCCCGATTTACGCAGTATCATCATGGACGAGCATCATATCGCTAAGGGCGGCACAGTTTCTAGATCCTGTTCGTGACATCTATGAGGTATGTGGGGCTCTGGCCGACTGTCCGATAAGCCCTCATTAACGAATGGCATTGGCAGGCGTTCACCATCTATACCTTCTTTCAGCTCCTCATCAACTTCCTCGGCGGCGAGCGGGCTGTGATCATCATGGCTCATGGCCGCCCTCCTATCTCCCATGCCTGGCCTCTCAATCACTTCCTCCCAAAGATTGACATCTCGGATCCCCAAACCTTCCTTGCTGTCAAACGTGGTATCCTGCAGTACGCTTGGTTGAAGCCCATTCTGGCTCTCGGCTCCATCATAATGAAGGCAACCGATACATATCAAGAGGGCTATATTGGGCTGAGCTCTGGATACCTCTGGACAGGTATCATATATAATGTCAGCGTCACAATCAGTCTTTATTCCCTTGCCATGTTCTGGGTGTGTCTGCATGATGACCTCGCGCCATTCCGCCCAGTCCCCAAATTCCTCTGCGTCAAACTCATTATTTTCGCCTCATATTGGCAAGGCTTCTTCTTGTCGATACTGCAGTGGCTGGGAGCGCTTGGTAGTGTTGCTGGGTACACCCCCGACAACCTTGCGGCAGCCATTCAGGACAGTCTTATCTGCTTTGAGATGCCATTGTTCGCTATGGCTCATTGGTATGCATTTTCGTGGCATGACTATGCGGACCCGACCATCTCAGCTGCGCGCATGCCCGTAAAATACGCGCTGCGCGACGCATTCGGCGTGCGAGATTTGGTTGAAGACACCAAGTTCACCATTCGCGGTAAGAATTACGGATATCGGCTGTTTGACTCGGGTGATAATATCATCCCGCATGAGGAGTCAGGGTCGCGGGTCAAGCGAGTAATGGCCGGCATGAGATATGAGCGTGGAGGTAAGGCAAAATATTGGATCCCAGAACCGGGTGAAGCCAACAGCCGCACGCCTCTATTGGGCGGCGAATCCAGTCAGCGCGGCCCCGGAAATAAACGGGCCAGTCAAACCTCCAGAGAGAGAATCCGATCATACAGTGAAATTGATGAAACCGCACTGGACGACGAGGATGAGCGAATATTCCTCAATGCTCGCGCACTAGAATATGGAGACTGGAATGTGAGTTACGCTGATACAGAGTGGTCGTGATTGCAATGCTGACCGCGCATAGTACCCGGTGATTACCGCCAACGTGGTGCCAAGTGACCAACGGCTGCCACCCTCGCGGAGAAATCAAGATTCAAACCGAGGGGCAGATGTCAAAAAGGCCCATAGGCACAGGAAAAGTCGCGCGTCAAATGGTGAGAGTAGGCAAAGTCACAAGCCAAAGTCCAAAATAGCGGGCCCAAGCTCGGCGACTCCCGGTCCCTTGAAGCGAAACGTCAGTTCCACCAGTTCTAGCGGTACGCAGCGCAGCCAGCTGGTTGACCTTGTGGTGGAGAATACAGAGGCTGAAGAAGAAGTTCGAGCCCAAACACAGAGAGAGTATGGCTCTGCCTGGGCAGAGCCTGAACCTCGACGATTCTCGTAAGTTGCCAAATCGCGCATAGCGACACTAGAGGCTTCAGAGCAGAGTTATTAATCCCGACTCCAACCTCCAGAAGACCCTGTGAAGATCTAATCGAAGAAGAGGCTGAAGCCAACTCGATACAGCCGGAGACCAATCATGACGAAGATCGGCCCAAATGGGCCTACGACGATCTAGAGCAGGACAATGTTTGGGGCAAATAGTGCGCGTTCTATGGTGTATGGTGTACTCTGTCTCTTCAATTATCTCGGATTATGATCATCTACCTTATTTACTCATTTGCTCATTCTCGGTCTGATATGTTTGTATCTGTGTTCTGTACATATCCTTCGAAATGGAACAGAAGAAAGGAAAACATTATGAAACTCCGAGAAATTCTAAAGAGATAGAATTATCCTTTCCAATCTCTGTAAGCGCCCGACTTTCTCGTCACACCAAAACTGGACTTGATAGGCTTGAGAGGGTGTAGCTCAAAATAATGAGCACAGATGTGATAACCCCACTAGACGTCAACGAATAGTAGTGCTTCGATCAGCTCTGCTACCGACGATCAATGCTGCTAAATGCGCTGGCTTCGGCGTGCATGTCTTTACTGGGCATAGACCCCGGTTACTAGTGCCACGATGATATGTACCTGGACGAGTTGGGTAAGGCGCTCATCTTTGGGCTTATATGATGGATGTTCCCATCCCGTCTGAGGGGCTGATTTGACTGCCTGTGCAACTGGTTCGTTCCTTTCCTTTGTTTTCTCCTTTCTTTCCCTCCAAGGTGATGGATTGATTTCTCGCGCTGGTCGCCATCATGCTGGCTTTGGAGAGGGCGGGGTCGTTATTCACTGGCTGGATACGATCATGCTTTACATTTTTACCTGGTGACGATGGTTGTCAACCTAGACAAGCTGGGAACGGTATGTGTCCGACTACGTCAAAAATCTAGACTCGATGGGACTAATATACATCGCAGGCGTTGAACGGGAGATGAAAATATGCCATACTCAACCACATCTTGTTCCACCTATGAAGCTGGTGGTATACGATAACCTCCCCAGTCCAAGTGTCCATCAATCTCGAAACTCACTGTCATCATGGTTCAACGACAGTCGGAACTTGGCGTCGCGAGCCTCTAACCGGGCAAGCATGTCTTTAAAACGCTCTTCAACGACCCCATTGAAGATCAGCGCACCTTCAGACTTTCGCAGAGTGCAATCGTTCCACGATCACCCACATTCATTCAATTCTCCGCCACCAACCTATCAACCATTGGATCTCCGCATTCATCGATCAGGTAATCGATTGTCTGAATTACCTTCATTCGAAACCTTCCAACTAAACGAAAGCCCTCAGCGCAAGACGCTACCGGTACCCCCTCGTGCCCTCACGACTCCGACCAACGTTCGTGATCGATATTGCCAAAAAGCATTTGTAGTCTCTCGCAAGCCAGTTGGGTCTCAGAAACGCCGATCACTTGGTAATATGGAGTCCCTGCTCGTCGAAGAACCCGTTCGCGCCACTAGTACTCTGGTACCACATTTCTCCAAGGTCATCCACACCGAGAAACCTCTCCCAGAAGCTCAGGCAGCATCTCCAATCCACGGCAGGTCAAAATCAGAAGGAAGCAAGGTTACGTCGAACACCCGATGGCCAAACGACGCAAATACCACCTGGGGCAGAGTACCTCGGACTCCACCTGCATCCAACAGTGTGCACAGAGACTCGCCGGATACATCCCCATCCAAGTACTCGGCAATGTCCAAGGACAGTCCTTCGTCAGCCAGCTCGCGCACGATGATATCACAACCCTCATCGCGCCGTCCCTCAATTCCACTTCCCAAGAACCGAGACTCAATCGATGCAATCCCATTCTCTCTTTCCAACCGCGTAACTCAATGGATGTGCCCTACACCCACCAACTCCTCTCCGTTCCCCAGGCAAGCCTCTATGCCCGGCGAGAAAGGGTTTAATTGGGAGCGAACCCGCACGCTGAGTGGCACCACAGTGGCTTCGACTAGTACTACGACTTTCACCGGCGGCCCAAGAACACGGAATAATGGCTCCATCTCTAGTGCCTTCTCCAGTGCTATTACTCCCCGCACCTCATTCCAAGTCCTCCCGTCTGCTACAGAAAAAGATCTTGACGCTGGTGTCTGCTACCCGACCATCTTCGAGGACCAGCAACAGCACCATCACCTATCTTCGTATCATGACAATGGACATGTGCGGTACCAAGAGTCTAGTATTGGGGTGGCGTTTTAAGTTGTCTGGATTTTCTTTGGAGATGACACTTTTGGCCATTCTGAGATTTTGATAATGAGTTACCCAGTCTCCTTCTTTTCTTTCTGTTAGAATTTTGGTTTTTCTTGGATGTCTGTTGGGTATTTTCTTTTGGACTTGTTTTATTTCTATTGCGCGTTGGAATACCCCGTTGTGATTCCAGTTGGTTAGTTCTTTCCAAGGTTGCTATTTGAGGTGATTAACCGTGGTACATACATAGCTTATGTAGGAAGTAATAATGAAAACGGTCTGGATATGACTCCATGGGATCTTTAGCAGTCAGAAAAGGATTATATTCAGTATTCTACTAGGGAGAAGAACAATTATGCAACGGCAACACATATTTCAAGGTCCAGGCTAACACACATGGCATCTGACCACGATGTCTGGACATAAGTCAATTGTACACAAAGGCTAACGATAGCTATTTCTGTAGGGTATCTCAAAAAAGACAATATAGCTGTCAGAAAAACAAATAGGGCACAAGTTAAAAGAAAGGATGAATGTTATGTACAACATACAGCAAAAGATCGACGTCTTAGCTTTCATACGAGATCAAAGCTTTAGTCCGTGACTATATCCACACCGTCCGGGGAAGTACTTATGGGGCCGATTTTGCGGGGTTTTTGCATGCCGAGAATCTCCCAGGCACGGCCCATCATACCATGGCCTGAGCCCTGGGGAAATTCGACAGAAGCCTTGTGAGCATGTCTGGAGACGCGATCACGCATGGTACGCTCCTGCTTAGCGGCAGCCAGACGGTCTTGTTCACGTTCGTGATTGACAATTTCGTCGCGCCATTCGGCCCAGTGCTCGAAGTTTTCGCGCTGCTGGAGTACCTGATAACGGAGGCGGGTCTTGGACGGACGCCAAGCAGCGCGACCCGCTTTCTCATTGCCGTCACTACCTGGAACAGCCATCGTGGACTTGAGATCGGGGACACGGGACTCTTTTGTCAGTTTGAGAAGATGGGTCATGACATCCCGACTTTCGAGGGCAGTGCGTTGGATTTTTTCTTGTTCGGGGGTTGGTTTGGCACGCACGAGCGGCGCATCAAGCCATGCGTGCATTTCACTAGATCTCTGGACGGAGTATGGGTCGAGGATGTTCGAACGGCGGTTTTCCTCGCGCAGGAAACGCACAGCTGCTTGGAGGCTTTCCACCTCAGCGCGGAGAGACTCGTTCTCGTCCATGGCAGCTAAAGAGGCCTCACTAGCGATGATGGCGCTGTTACCCGTGGGCGTCAGACCTACTGTTCCAGACATGCGCTTCATTCGATCAAGACGAGCCATGAACTCATCTCGCTCTGCTTCGGCTGTCTGAAGCTCCTTCTTTTGTTGCTCAACTATTTTCTCGAGTTCACTCCCTGCTTTCTGGATTTCCTCGATTCTGGCTTCGAGTTCTTTGACCATGGCAGCCTTCTTGCTCGCCTCTCGCATCCTTGATTCAAGATGCTCGATCTTTAGGCCCTGTTCTTCAAGGGTATTGTCCTTGACTCCAAGTGCGGCTGACGCTTCGTGAATCTCATTTCTCAACTGGCGAATCTCCTCGTCTGCATCCGGGGATGTCATTTTGTTGGACTTCAATTCTGCAGCGCGAGCGACCCAGGGGAATGCAGCTCTCTCGAACTCTGTCGTGCGAGACAGATCTGATGAAATGGTATCCAGCTCCTCAAATTGGTCGCCTACTTGTTGCAATCTGGTAAATAACAATGATATAGGGTCGTTACTTTCATCCAGGATTTCGGAGGACGAGGCAAAGGACACGGCAGCCTGGGACATACAGTCCAGAATCTCCTCCGGGCTAAATGGGTGCGTGCGACCTTCATCACTGGTGAGGACAACAAGGTTCTCGCCGAGCTTTCGAGCAAACTCTGAAAGTTGCTTGGTTTCATTCTCTATCGTCTTGAACGGTTCTTCGGCGTCCTTTGGGAGCGCAAGTGACCTAGAACGCAGATCATCAAGAGACCGGCTGATCTTACCCATCGCAACCTTGTATCCGCGGGCCTGAGAGGCGAAGGTGTCCAATTTATTCAGAGAAATCAGGTTTTCTTCGTCGCCTTCTGCCGCGGCCACCATCTTGGAGCTGATAATCAGCTTAACGCGTGCGATTGCACCGGCTGAATGCTCAATGTACGATTGAGACAAATGGGCCCGCATACACAGCTCATCGGCAAACATCTCCAAGCTGGAAGGAAGAAGGGTCTCAGCAAGGTGTGCGAGGAGAGCGATAGACCGCTGCAATTCCACTGCAAACTTTGCAAGATTCACTTCGTCCTTCTTCATAGGCTCGATCCAGAAGTTCAACATGCGCTCCACTGGCTCCATTTCGAACATTGCGATCTTGATATTGGCAAATTCCTCGGGCGAGCAAGCTGTGATATAGTTCACAAAGCGATCACACACGTTTGAAATCCACATAAGATATTCCAAAACCACATGAGCTTGGAAAAGTTCCTCGTTGGAGACTACTGAGTGCTCAGATCCCTTATCTTGTAGAGTGCTGCTCATAACATTGGCTTTGAATCCGACGCGCTTGAATCGAAGCAAAGCCTGAATAGAATTCTTTTCCCCTTCAAAGTACTCCGGAAGATAGAGCTTTATCATCGAAAGGTGCTGTGCATTTTCTTCGGACTCCATACGGTTCAGTTCAACATCGATAGATTTGGTCAGGGCCTTCGATTGATTGGCCTGGAGTTTCATATTCAAATCTTGCATCTGGCGGTGGCGCAATGCATTTTCGGTGGTCTCTGCCTCCGAAACTTGCTTTGTCGTGCGCATATCATCCAAGTCACATTGCAGGTTCGTCACCAAATCCCTGAAACGCGTTAATGTATATTCAAGGTCCTCGATAACTTCGTCCTGTTGCGTGATCTTTCGGCATTGGTCGCTGAACACACTCTCTCGGTACTCAATTTCTTCTTGAAGTTGCTTCTCAGTCTCAATATGGGTGTACTCCATCTCATCGCTAATCTCCTTGAGAGATTCCAAATCCTCGATGGCAGCTTTCAGCTCATTAATCTCATCCTGGTAGCGCATGTTTTTGTCTGCTAATTCTTCAATCATTTCTTCCGCCCCCAGTGCTGTCTCCAGCTGCTGCTTAAGATTATCGACATTGGTCTCAGCGACCAAAATTCTCTCCTTTGCAGCCTCGTAATCAGACTTGACGGTAGCGTACTCCTCGAGATCCTCCTCCAATTCTTTGATCTGAGACTTGAGGTCTAACTCTTGCTGCTGAGTCATATCTCTTAAACGAATGAGCGCCTCGCGGAGACGTTCATTGGTTCTTTCCATCTGAAGCCATCCATGAGTGGTTCTGTCTTCGGGGGTGGTCTCCTGGCTGTATTCTTCATTCTCCTCTCGGAGAACCTCCACCTCCAAATTCAGCTCGTCCAACCTTGATCGTAACGCTGCGCACTCATGTTTGAATGCCTCCGCTGTCTCCTCTGCCATTTCGCGGTCAAGAGTAGCCATTTCCATGAGCGATTCATGCTCCGCCTGCATGCGTTCCACGTCGTCAGAACGAGCCTCAAGTTCTTTCAACTTTTTGCGCAGCTCGGTGACTTCCATTTGCTGCGGTTGATACTTGGCTTGAAGTTTCTGGATGATCGTTTCAAATTTATCACGCTCAGCCTGGAGTTGCTCGAGGGTCTTCAACTTCTCTTTGTCGTCGGCTCGTTTCTTTTCCATTATTCTGAGCTTGGCATTAAGTTCTTCGAGCTCGCGATTAACTGCACTGCTCTGCCCCTGGCGTTGAGATGCAGAGAGCGGGGCCCCAGGACGCGAGGCTGCAGGTCGCGAAGCAGTCATCGACTGTCGAGAGGTCTTCGGCCCGGTGAGTCCGTCTTGTGCACCCTCCCCGTCAGTGTCAGGCGACTCGGTCTCGGTTGGATCTCCGGATCCCCCACTCATGGCCGCGTCTCCTCCATCCGATGCTTTTGCGTTGCTAACCTGCCGTAGTGAAGGACGCTTTGTCAATCCCGGGGTTGATGAAGCAACGGCACTTTGGGAGCCTGGTCTTGAAGTTCGGACTGCTGGTCCAGATACCGAGGGCCGTGAGCCTCTAGAGGCTGTTGGCTGTGTTGGAGAGGGACCCGGGGGGCTTCTGGTGCTGGGAGCTAGTCGTGGTCGATTAGATGCCACTGTAGAGGTGCGGGAAGTACTCCCGATGGACGGGCGGCCCGTAGTCGTTGCGAGTTGTTTCGTTGGGGACTTCGTAGGGGACTAAATTGAGTAGAATCATAGGTTAGCATAATGGAACGGAACACCTTTGTAGGACATGACATACTCGGAGAGCGGCTACACCCTTCGGCACCGGAGTAGGAGTTGAGGCTGCATTGCTGCTCTGTCGCCTTGCTGCTGTAGGAGGTAGCCCAGTTTGCTTGCGCATACCAGTGGAGATCCCAGGTTTAGGCTGCGCTTTGCTACCTGCGGCGCTGCTAGCCAGTTTGGCGGTTTGTTTACTCTCCGGCTCGGGCTGGACAATCTTAACAACCACCGTTGGACGGACAAACATGCCGTGTCCTGGATAGCAATCGAAATACCGTTCGCCTTGGACTGCGCCATCGTTTTTGCCGGTGGCTTCATCTAATTCAAGGCCTATCCACTGTCCGTCCGCAAAATGGGTGTTGCCAATGAAACGCACTGTTGCTAGCCGTCCATCGGGCAGCTCAATCACCGTGCCTACAGATAAGGCATGGCCAGACATTTCGAGTGGATTCAAGAGCTACAATGAGCTCTTGAGCGATAGCTGAGAAGTTCTGGTTGTTGGGAGGACAGAAACACGGCAACTCCTGAGTCCAACGGAGCGCGTCAAGTGACTAGTTTCTGCCTCAGGCAGAAACTTCCGGTTTACGATGTAGATCACTACAATATAGTTACTGAGTACACGCATTATTGATCCAAAATACTGCTAACTAATGGCTTCTCCGTTGTATTATTATAGCAGGCTTGAATCTTGATTTCGTTTTGCATTATCCAGAG